AAGGTGTAAGGCCGGGGGTGGGGGACGGACCCTCCCCCTTTATTGGCCCAAAAAAAAAAAAAAGAATTGAATTAAGGTGAGCGCTCCTGAAAATCTGTTATCATCCACGCCAGACTTTGGTGGTCTAATAGACATTTGTCCAGTTAGGGAACCCTGCAATGTGGGTTGCATCCTGCTTGACTATGGCGAGTGTTGCATTCAAGTCATCTGTCATCGAGTAGTACAGAAAATGACAACTAAACAAATTAATTTTTAACTTTTTAAAATTTTAAATAATAGATTTTCCATTGACCTCTGAGACCTGTTTAAGTGTAAAACCTATGTTATTTCTGAAGGACAGAGACAGATGATTGTAGTCCAAGTTCAAGAAAGCCCATAATGAATGTTTGCCTGAAGAAAGCCACAAACCACACACACTTGTCACTGAACCATACTTGAGGTCTGTGGCAGTGGGAAGTCAACTTTTAAACTTTGGCTGCTGAGAAACTCCTGCAGGAGTTATGGTATAAATACAGAGAAAATATTTACTCTGTATCCGTTCACATTAATGCAGCATTGATTTTTTTCGTTCCTAAGATTCTCAGTGTGTGTCTTTGTCTTCCTGCAACACTGTTCAGGAGAAGACAGAACCCGCAGATCACTGAAGATCATTAGCTGTAGCTAACATTAGCTCTGGTGTCTGTACTATGAGGGTTGTTGCTAACGTTAGCTCTAGAGTCTGTACAAGGAGTGTTGGAGGTAATGTTAGCCTTGGTGCCTCTAGTAGCTAACATGTATTCTGGTGCCTGTACCAGAACACTTGTAGCTAACATTTACTCTCGTGTCATGACCATGACTGTTGTAGCTAACATTAGCAAGTGCCAACCATGTTGTTCCTCTGGGAATCGAACCCAGCTCTGGTGGGCTCTGGTGTCTGTACTATTTAATCCGGCCCGCCAAACTTTTCCAAATGTATTCATATTATCATAACACTTCTGCATTTTCCCTGAAATACAAATGTTTCCCCAATAGATGGCATAGAAAATGCTAAAAGTATGTTAGCATCTTAGCCTTTATGCGTGACTTTCACATGTCATTTATCTTAGCTTCATCTATCTGCTCCTGACACTCCCCCCCCCCGTTCAATTTTAGGACAAAAGGTCAAAACATTTGCCCGCGCCTGATTTAGTCCATGCAGCAGAGTTTCTTTGCTAGCAAGTTTTTTTTTTAGTACGCAACAATAAACAATTTTTCTAGCTTAAATAAATAATAATCAATTGCAGAAAAAATATTTTCCTTGAATGAAAAATTAAGTATATTTTTTTCACTGTGTCCCATTGCGGACCGGTACCAAACGACCTATGGCCTGGTACTGGTCCACGGACCAGGGGTTGGGGGACCCCTGATCTATACAGTCTTCCATTTTCAAGGCGAACTGTATTGCTGATTAAAATGAGTTTGACAGTACTGTTTTAGACCATAGAATTGGTGATTATCTCGCTGTGAGACTCGAGCACCAACCCAGCCAGGTCGTCTGTGGACTGAACCCCAGAGAAGCCGGTAAACACACCCCGTCAGTCTCCTCTGAGTCTGAGCCGTTAGGCTGCAGTGACTGTAATGATGGGTGTTCCCGTAACCGGGTGTTAGTCAGCCGGAACGCAGGTGTGTGAGGAGACGGATGAAGCCGCAGCAGCCTCTGTGGTCCGGACCCCGGAGTCTGGTGCCGCATCCCTGCGACTCACATGTCCACACAAGTCCTGCACACACTCACACAGAGCTGATGTGTCATGTGGCCACGCCCCCCAGTCAGACGCCCGCGCCGTTCGTCCTGAGGGGACGTATCGTGTTCAGACAGGTATCGGTGTCAGCGCTGCTGCTGCTCCTTTCTAAGATAAGAAGAACTCCCCGGTATCAAAGTACCCTCGGTACTACAATACACAATGGCAGGTACCCACAGTATTCTGATAGAGTACAGGTCTTTGTCTTTGGTGGGGCTGAAGTCAGCAGGGAACCCAACCCCCGCA